GCCAGACCAGAAGAGGAGGCAGGAGAGGGCGGTGGGAGGGGTGGGAGCGGAGACAAACAGTTGCCAAAAGACCATGAGTGATCCTTCGACCGCTGTGGTTTGACCCTGATTGAGGAGGTCAACGAGGGGATCACCAGACAACAAAACAAAGCAAAAAAAAAAGTCTTCCTCCTCCACGTGCCCTGAAACTCGTGTTCTCACCGATGTGTTTGGCTCAATTAAACTTCAGAGGACGCGCTGCCACATCCCTCCGCAGAAGTCCTGACCCCAGGAGACTGGGGGGAGTGACGGGACTGCTGGTGGTCGTGGGGGCCAAAGGTTAAGTCTGGAGATCGTAAAACAGGGTCTCCATTCACATGTCAGCTTGCATTCAGAGGTAATCTATCCATTTTCTAAAACCATCGTGACGGTGTGAAAAAAAGAGAAGTTACAAAGTCAAGGTAATGATGTTTTATGGCAGTGTTAACTTTCAGCAGTGGAGTAATGGGAACGCAGCGTGACCCCGACCTCTATAGGCTTCCCAACTCAGCGTTAAAATTTATAGCTACAGTGATTACTATTTATTCGCACTTGAAAACGAACCAAAAGTCCCAACTGTAGAGCTTTATTTTTAGAGTCTGGTTGAGGAAAATTTTATTTATTTTTTTTCACCGGCACAGAGTCTGCTTTCTCATAAATAACCAGTAAAAATATTCGTTTGACTGTGTCCTTCATGCAAACTTTCTGCTAAACTCTAGTCTGAGTGAAGACATACGCCAAGTCTGCTAAGCTTCACTCAAGCCATTAGGGATCCCTGTTTTCAATTTAGCGATCCAGCATCTCTGGACTGATCCGTTTGAAAATGTTTATCCTCGTCTGTCATCATGATGCAAATTCTGTTGTAATCTATGAGCTTGTCAAGCCAATAAGACACACCAGATTGAAAGTGCCCAGACTGGAGCTCCCTAATCTGAGGGACTACTCATCACACATGTAACAGAGCCAAAAATGTACGTTTGTTTGCGCTGCCTGTGATGTCAGAAAAGAATGGCCCCGAACCTCCTGAAGGGTTCGGGATTAGACTGTTCCCGTCCTGCAGACGTACAGTTGCTGAATAAAAGGAACAAACAAAAAGAAGAAGAAGCAAAACACAAAGCGAAGCTTACAGAACCCGCGACACGTCCCGACACGATGAGTATCTGCATGCCTTGTTGCAACTATTCCATCAAGCTGTCAAAATGGTTATGCAAAACACGAGCGCAGGTGTGGAGAGGAGATGATTGAAAGAAGAGAAGGGAAAAGAACTGCACTTCTGGTTTAATCAGATAAAACAGTGCAACGGAGTGACTGTGCAAAACATGTGCGTGTGTGAGAAGCTCGGAGTCAGTTTGAACAGCCAGTTGGCACAATGGATGCCATGAATCCCGACCCCCCTCCTTCCCTCATTCCAGGCCCTCAGCCTACTTCCCAGCGGGCATTCATCTGGGCATGCACATGGGCGCTGCAGCCGAGCCTGGCTAAACGCGTCTGTGCCCCAGAACAAGGGGGTGAATTTTTGTGAGTGCCCTCTCAAAATCCACCAGGGACTCTCACTGCCAACCTGCCAACCTTTCTCAGGCACGAACCAGCGGGGATTAACGGCAAACCCGCCCGAAACGTACATCCTTTTTTTTTTTTCTTTTTACTGTTTTTTTGTTTTATTTTAAACAACGCAAACAAAATAAAAGCGGCGAAATCATTTCTGTTACTCGATAATGCAGCTCAGCAGAGCAGGACACAAAAAAAAAGACAATATATTAAAAGCACAGTCTGAACAGTGGATACTCTTTCAGCCGGAGCCCGATTTGCTGGTTTCTTTGTGTTTGATTGTATGTTTGTTTGTTTCGTGCAGTTGCAGCTGAACAAAAGACGGCGGCGGCTTCCATTCTGCCACCATCGGGGGGGGGAAAAAAATAACTTTCCAGTGTGCCCACCGCATTGCGGATGCCAACCGACGAATCAAAGGCACGCTGCACGCAGACAAAAGAGGGTTTGATGCCAACCTCCGAACCTCTAACAACCGTCGGGCGGCGATCCGCCCTGCCTCCCTGGCACCGTGTGGAACAAAATGGCGGCGCAGCGCTTTGCCGTCCACAACATGGCTGCGCCGTCTGTGTTTGGGCGCTGCTTGGCGACTTAAAGGAAGAGGGAAAAGACTTTTTATTTTTGCAAAAAAATAAAAGAACTTACAAGTGGAACAAATAAGTGTACACGTTTTTTAATTCTTGTCGTGAGAACGCAAAAAATGATCATCGAAATTTCAAACTTCACGCTAAAAAACCCAAACATCTTTCTCAGGAGAAATCTTTGATATTGATAGTTAAAAGAGAGAGAGAAAAAAACCTCGCTAAAAGAGCGGTGTTGTTTTAAATGTTGGCACGGAGCGGTTAAAACGCAGCAGATGCAGAACAAGGGGAGCGGTGGCATCCTACAAAGGACACAAAAGGAGGGTCTGATGCCAACCCCGGTGCCAGTGGCAACCATTATTGTCTCCGTGCTGTGCCTTCTGCTTTCCCTGGCACTTATCAAACACAAAATGGCGCTCAGGATTTGATGGTAATGAGCTAGCTAAACCACCGTTCCTCCTCTCAGTGGCGGAGCGTTTCGATGCTGCAGCTACAGATTCAATGAAAGGGGATTTCATCGTGGAGCAAACCCAGGAGGGGAGGCATTCCTGTGCTGTCAGCAGAGAAAAGGAACTTTAGAAGAGTGAGACCGATGAGGTATGAGGAAATGAAGGAGTCGCATTTGTTCAGATGGCTGCTGAAATTACAACCCGTCACATGCAAAGTTGCAAAATCACAGAAAATTTTGGCAAAAAAAGAAGTTTTTTTTCCTTTGTCGCTAGTTTACACATGACAAAATGTAAAAACTGAAGAGAAAAATTAAATCTTTCTGACTATAAATGTAATCTCTAAAAAGTTAAATTATTTTTTTTTCAATTTAACTTATTTAAATTTATCCCAGCACCACATGCAATATGTAAAAATACTCAACTCTTAAATTAAATTTTAAGAAATTAATAAAATGTTACAAATTTGCAATTCAGCACAAATCGAAAGGTGCATTGAGAAATAAGAACAGAAAAAATCTGGGATGATCAGACATTTTCTGCCTGATACTGAAGACTTATGTGATGAAAGTTAAAAAAAATATGTTCTGCAGTTTCATCAATGGAGGATTTTAATTTTCAATCAAACAAAAAAAATAGGGATGTTTCCATTAATTTCATTTATATTATTTTATGTAAATGCATAAAAATAAACGCTTTGATCAAAGCACACAGACTAAAATTAGTGGGAAATCTGAGTTTTCATGCAATATAAATATTTATATCTATCTATCTATAGATATATATATATATACATATATATATATCTATAGATAGATATATCTATCTATCTATCTATCTATCTATATATCTATCTATCTATCTATCTATCTATCTATCTATCTATCTATCTATCTATCTATCTATCTATATATATATATATATATATATATATATATATATATATATATATAGAAACAACCGTATTTCCTGCTATAACCAGTCTGAGCAGATCAATTACCAATACTCTGATTCAGATTTCTAAAACTAAATCAAATTGAAAAAAATATCATTATTTTCCAATTTATTTTTGTTGAAAACAAGCAGAGATTGTAGTAATTTAAAAATGTTATAGGGCTTCTGTCAGCATGAATTCTCCTACATGGACGTATTTTGATATAAATTAAGAAAGAATTGAGATATAAAAACATAGGTCTTAAAAATCCTGCCTGATCCTGATTTCTAGTCTTTTTTGGAGGTTAGATCTGCTGAATTCAATATTAATCCACTTGTATTTTTTCTCCCAGCGATTACAATTTGTTCTGCAGGGTCTTTGATGAAGGTTTGCGGTTAAAATCTGACAGAAAATGAAGAAATTACAAGATTATTCCCGTTAACATCTCTCGCATTAATTTAATTAAAACATTAAAGGACATGCCAGTTTGGATGATTTTTGACAGTAAGAATAATATGGAATCTTAATTTGAAGAAATTTAATGAATGGGGTGAAAAATCTATATTTTTCAGCCTTATTCATCAAAATCAACCAGCTTTACATTAAAATTCTCTGAATCTTTATTGCCAAAGAAGTTGCCTGAATTGTTTGATAATAAGACTTAATCAGAATTAAAATTACTCATTTTAAAACTGTTTGTTTGACTGGAGTCAAATAAATGCCGTAAGGCGATATTTGTTACGAATTGAGGCTATTTTAAAATTTTTACCTGAATTGAGTTTGTTTAACCTGCCAAAATCCAGTCAGCGCATTTTAAGGGGAAAACTAGTCAAATCTTATGTCTGAAAATTAAAAAATAATTCATGCCGTTTCCTCAACAGTAAATACACAGACGAAGAAATAATCGATTTAAAAAAGAATCTTAATTTATGCTGTTCTTTTGCTTTATATTGAAACCAACTAGTTTTATAAGATCTAAAAAAATGTCATTTGACCCATAATAATTAGAAAATAATCCACTTATGTGTTCCTGCATTCGTGCAGCAGCTTTCTGTAGACGTCAGTGTTTATGCAGCCCGACAGGCAGAACTGAAGGGTGTGTGTTGGTTTGTGCAAGCCAGTGTGGCTCCGTGTGCAGACAAACACACACTCTGCAACAATGGCTTCACACGGCCAGGAGCTACTGCAGCGGCACAGCTCAGACAAAGTTAGAAATGTTTCATATTGGAAACACATTTAGTTTTTCTGCTCAATAATGAGCCGTGCATGAAAAAACAAAACAAAAACAAAAGCCTGAACGTGTTTCAGCAGTTCTGCTGCTCACATTTCTGGTGTTTACTTGTCTGGCACAAACAGCGATGACCGCAGCCCAGACTGAGTCAGAAACTAACACATGTGACCTCTGACCTCAGCAAACCATCACACAAACACATCTATATATATATACACACACACACAGTCTGAGGTTGAACGTACCTTGGTCCTGGACATAGTATGCTAGAAACAAGTCCAGCTCCTTGACCGATACTGTTATGTGGTGAGGCTGGACACAAAGTGCTGGGTTGGTGCAATGTGGAGACTTGACGAGCCGCTCGCCGTCCGTACTTTCCAGAGGGATGCCCTTGAAGAGGATGACCATCACCAGGTCCAGGCGCCAGACTTTGTCGGCCTGCCGCAAGCAGTCGATCCGGCGGATCTTGCCCTTCTGGTCCGGGTTGGACAGAACGCAGCACGGCGGCTTCTTGCCCGTCACGCTGAGGACGAAGTCCTCCCGGTACTCCTGCCGAATGTCCTTCCGCAGCTTGGCCAGCAGCCTGGAGGCCCACTTCTGCTTGACCTCAGGCTTCTCACCCAGGAGCTCATCCTTCACGGCGCGCTCCTCGTCCTTGGACATCCGCTTCTCGTGCTTCTTGAAGTACTTGCGCTTTCGGGCCTGCAGGTTGAACCACGTGTAGGCGATGGCACGGACGTGAGGGAGAAGCGCCTCGATGAAGGGATGAAATTCATCCTGGAGGAGTCGGAGGGGAAAAGAGAGGGAAGAAATTTAATCTCAGTAAAAAAAAATTTTTTAAAAAGGATTTTTTTTAACTCAGCAGAAGGGACATCAGATCACAAATAAAATAATTTTATGTTGAACTAATTTTCTGCAAGTGTGACAGCAAAAAAAAAAAAAAAAGGATGCCAGAATTTGTATTTTCTGGTCATGCTGCGGGCCGCTCATCAAACTCTCCGTCTTCCACAGAGAACTTATCCCACGCTCACTAAGAACAGAGGATAAGCTTCTGGACAGGATGGAGTCGCAGTCTGATGTTAAGACGGTTCTTCTTTATGGATAGATGGGAACAGACAGTTCAGCAGTTTTTATGCATTTTCACACAAAAACTCAAATTCTTATTATTATTTTTATTTTTTTTTTACAAAACTATGCAATAAATTCTAAATATTTACAAAGCTATTTTATGCTAACAAGTTAAATTTTAAACGTGACTGACTTTTCCTACTGCGAGATGCATACTTTGAAAACTGATTAAAAAATATATCTATATATTGTTTTGGGGGGAAAAAAACAACTTCTGGGCAATTTTTTTGCATTTGATGAGTCTCTTTAGATTATATTTCAAAACAAGAAGGACACATTTCATTATTTTCAAACCCTTTAACCTTTTGTTTTTTTTTTTAATAAGGGTAAGACTTCAGTAATCCTGACAGTTTTCATTAACTCCTTCTCTTTGTCGTCAGGATTGTGCGAACAATCCGACTGCAGCTCCTCCAGGTGAGAAACGGAAACGTGGAATTATCTTAGCTTTCAGGTCATTAAAATGTCAAATTTAATAAGCGTAAGCAGCAACCTCCCCCCCCCACATCGCCCTCCTCCTCTTGTTTAAGCAGGCTTTTGAGGAGTCAAACCACACATTGTTCTTTTTGAAAGCAGTCAGGCAAAGCGGGCGATGGGAAACCACAGAAATCCACTCTCAGTGTACGAGTGTGTGTGTGAGTGTGTGCGCGCGCGTGTGTGTGCCTGCATGCCGCTGGAAAGCCACATATCGTCTCTGCACAGACAAACTTTGTTTCAGTGTCCAAATCGCACGATGCAATCATTCGTCAGCCGAAGCAGAGAGCGGCTTTTCAAACCCCGCAGATTGTTATTTTTAAAAGCGAGATGTCACGCTGAGGGAAAACTGTGCGGCTTTCCATTTGCAAAACTGATCGTCGGAGCTTATTGTTTATGTCGCCTCCAATTAAAAACGACAAAAGTAAACTTTGAAATTCTACCAAATGTCCTGAAAAGAAGCCCTTTCAAAACGAAGAGGAGAAAAAAATATACGTTTCTTGTTCATGAAGCGACTTAAAATATTTCAATAACAGTCACTATTATTTTTCTTTAAGCGGGCTAACAAAGCCTAAAGCTGTGAAGATAAATGTCTTGGCCAGGGCCTGAGCGGTGCACTTCAGTTAGAGCCATAAAAGCACAATCCTCTTAAGAACAAACTAAACCGCATCTCAGTCAATCACTAACTTATGCCAAGTAAAATATAAACAGTCACACTGAGTCAGCCAAAACAGTCTGCAGCAACCCCTGTCCAAGCGCTGAATCAACCTTATCGGTGCATGTGATCTTCCTAAAAGAGAAAGTAGCTTTATCTCCTCCCAGCACCACTGAAGAGGGTTTTAATTGGAATAAAAATACATACTTTAGTGGGAATGGAGCTGGGGGAACATGTAAAGGCAGAGCGGTTGGCCTGGGAAGTGTGTGAAAAGTTTGAGAAATTAAGCAAACGCGCGTATTGGAAGCAAACTAATGAGGGAGCTTATCAAAAACGAACTTAATACACAGATAAGGATGGAATCAAATAGAATTGTTCTGCATCGTCACACAGTGGGGAAATTCAGGCTTCACAGCAGCAGGTTGAGGTAAGTGGGAGCACGCATGTTCACACATAAGGCAAAATATACATACAGTATATAAATATAAAAGAGACGATCCACAAAGGGCAATAATGATATTTTTTCACATCTAAAAAAAACAACTTTGAATCTAAGAAATCCAGAAATATGAAAACTGAAGCACTAATAGATGTGATTTTTTTTTTAAATACACAACCAGAGTCATCATTTTTGCTTGAGTATTAAAATCGATCCACTGCCAAAGCTTCATTCATTGTTGTGGTAATATACGGGATTTCTTTTTTTCTCTCTCTCTTTTTTTTTTTTAACAGTAAAACTAGCAAATTATTCACACTTCTGCTAAATACAATCAGAAAAAGCTGTAAATTACAATGACACTGACTGGAAAACAACCCTGCTCTACTACTCACTGAAATATTATGATTTAATTTGAACAAGAACTGAAAGAAAAAAAAAAAAAAAAAGAAAAAAAAGTTGCAAAACAGAGGCACAACAGCAACTACAGTAATCATTCAAAGCGGTTTATTTAAGCCTGGAAATTACTGTTTGATTATTCCACTTCAGCTGCCACTGATGCCTTATAGCACATTCATTTCACAGCTGAGTTTAAAACACCAGGCACTAGTCACATTTCACCCCGGTCAGTCACTGTAAAGCCATTTGTTTGTTATTTAAACAGTTAAATGCCCGGATTCAGGACGGTTCTGCACGGCATGCCACTCCACCTTTTGTGATTCTTTTACAGTAGAGCTGCTGCATTCTGCACTGGATAATTGGTGTTAATGATCCTGCTGCAGATTTAGGTATGCATTCTGATGGACAGAAGACAAGAAAAAAAAACTCCAAGCAAGTGTAGTTTAATTTAAGGTGAACTAAATAAGTAAACTTTGTATGATTTTTAGAAACATGCACCAGGTTTGCACCACTAACAGGCGACATAAATTACAGTTTATCCTGCATTTCAGTCAAGGTAAGTAAATAAATTAGTGTTTGATTTTGCGGTCAAACGCTGTAATTGTTTTTGACGTGCTGGCTTTAATTTTACCATATAAATTGCAATAAAATTCCCAAAGTAATGAGTTAATATTTTATCAATAGTAATTCCTTCCTGTTCAGGTTTTTTTATTATTATTATTAATAATAAAAAGAGTTTCCAACATTACAGACTCAGAGCGCGCGTACAGGACACCGTATCCAACCTGCATGTGCCAAACTCGCCCCAACGACACACTTTACAAAACAAGCAAAATGAAAACCATTAAAAAAAAAGAAATGAGAGGAAACACACACGAGTACCTGAGTTAGACAAATCGGAGAATACATGTCGAGACGGCGCTGAGCACAGAGAAAGAAAAAGTGATTGTAGGTGGACTAATTCCTCCGATCACTCCATCGTCCAGGACCGATCGGTGCGCACCGTGCAAGAAGAGAGACGGCGTGTGTGTGTGCGTGTGTGCGTGTGTGTGTATGCGTGTGGAGCAGCAATCCGAAGGGAAATTATCCAAGAATATCCATGAAGAGTCTCGATCCAAAGATTGTCGCCACCGCGGAGGGAGAGACAAAAAAAAAAATAAATAGGATTTGTGTTTTTACTACGCAGGAGCTGGCATGTAAAAGTAGAAGAAGCAACTTGGAGCTGTGCGTGCTCCGCCGTTACGACGTGTTCCCTCTCTCTCTCTCTTCCACTCTCTCTCTCTCTCTCTTTCTGCGCGGAGCCTCGCAGGGCGCAGAGTGCCGGGACGGTTCGCCCCCTGCTAAAAGCTTCCAGCCAGAGCTGATATGAAACCGAGCGCTTCCACCTTCAGTCGGTCCTGCGCGATTCCAGCAAATCAGATCCAACTTTTTTCCTCTCCCCTCTTTTTTCTAACCCCCGTCCTCTCTCTCTCTCTCTTTCTCTCTCTCTCTGTCTCGTAATTACACAGTCACACCCCTCCTCCTCCTCCTCCTCTTCCTCCCTCTCCTTCTCCTTCAGTCACATCCTCCTCCCCCTCGCCACCTTCCCTCCTCTCCTTCAGCACACAATTCATTTACTCCCCTCACTTTGGCTGAATTATTTTATGAGCTTCGGGGACTTTGGACCAAAGCTTCTTCGGCCACACAGAGGAAAAAAAAAAGAAAAAAAAAGAAAGGAAAAAGCACATTTCCAACCTCCTTTCCCAGCTCAGATCGCTCCCAAGTTGAAGCAAACTTTTCACGTGCGCGTCTGGGTCTTTTGACATCAACTCATTTTATTATTAATGTTCTTAAGTAGTAGGATGCGTTTAATAAACCAATATATGGGTGTTGTGTAATTTACTAATATTATCATTTACAAGCAAATTAGTAACATTCGGGAACAAACAACCAAAATAAACTGCTTATAGAAATGCAAAATAAATGAATAAAAGCAGATTTTCATTTCTTTAAGCAAAAATGTTTTCTTATTTTTCAGAAAACATAAAGCGGCTCATGTTCTTACACCTGGACCCTCATCAGATTTGGTGCGGTTTAAAAACACAACAAAAATTTGCTTAAAATAACAATTCCCCACGTTCTCGATTGCTGATATTTGTTTTGTTGAAATAAAAAGAAAACACGGCGCAGAAGAGAAATTGCGCCTCCTATGGTCAGAAATATATAACAGCCACAGGTTTGTGTTATTTTGAACTGGAGATAAGTCGTCTTATTTTTGCTCAGCTGTTTTAGTTCAAATGTAATTTGTTTTTGTTCTTTACAACAGCAAATACCTTTTTATAATTGGTTTCCAATTAGAAAATGTGAATGGATCAAAAACAAACATGTTTTATCCATTTCTAATAGACACTTTAAGCTGAGGGTGCCATTAGAAAAAGGAGGTGTAATAACTAATTCAACATTTATTTTTATTACGTAATTGCACATTTTAAAAGGTTTACACACTTAAGATAGCCTGTTCTGCTAATCTTGGGGTATGAAAACGACCCCCCTTACACCCCTCCTGTTTTGCGCCCCTGCTTTTAACCAAATCAAGTGAAACATGCGCACAGTGTGCACGGTTTTGCATGCACACCGTCGTGTTTTGCACAAAAAAAAAAAAGGCACCAAAAGTTAAACACATTTGCTTTGCAGCCGCACACGTGTTTCTGCGGGTCCTGCGGGGCTGTCAACAGTCCGCACAAAGTTCACACACACACACACACACACACACACACACACACACACACACACACACACACACACACACACACACACACCAGAGGGAACGAGGAGGCGAACCGCGCCAAGTTCAGGGAACTTTCTGCTCATTTCTCCACCACGCAGCGGCGGAAAGGACGACATATAAAGATATCACATGGAGAAGAAAATGGTACATAACACAGAGCGTTATCACAACATTTGAAAGCAGTAATATAACCCATGTTCACGTACCATTGCACTGTACTGCATGGATTAATGGGGGGAGTCCCGGAGCCTGGTTGGAAACGCACAAGCCGGTAGCTTCACATTTCTCACGCTCAACTTTGTTTGGAGCCCCTTTTCTCTTGCGGTGCACCAACAACAATAACAACAACAACAACAAAAAGTCAACACCGGAAGACAATTCTTGGCAGACAGAGGTGAAAAGAAGTCAGGAGCACCTCGTCTTTTTCCCCCCCTTGTCTTCCTTCCTCTTCAGGTCTCAGATTTTGGATCTTTGTTTTTTTTTTTTTTTTTTTTTTTTTTTTTTTAAGGGGGGAGTTGAACGCGATCCAGAAGAGGCTGAGTTTTCGGCACTGGGCTGGTCTCCGCCTTCACTTTCACTGTCTGACTGACTGCCTGCCTGCCGCCCCTCCGGCTCTCAGCGAACAGCCGTCAGGCTGAACGGAAGCGCCACCGGAAGTAGTATGAGGCGGCTTTTCTAAATAAAAGCCCGATTGAACGATAACTACGACTAAGTCTATGATTATATAGAAAACTCTCTAGTACTTTTTTTTAAATTAATGTTTGTTTTAATAGTATTTTCTTCTTTTGGACGACAGAAGGCATAGGAAGAACTCAATCCCATATATTTCCTATGCATCTAGTGTTGGTTCCGGACCAAATTTACCAAAAGGGCCACCAGTATTTTCTTTTTCTCGTTGCATTTTATGTTTTTGAGGATTAAAACGAGGGTAAGTACGTGCCTGTTTAAAAAGTAAACTCTGAAACAGAAAAATCTTTGTCAGTTTTGTCTCCATACATGTTCAAATGAACAGTTTCTAAGTATAGAAACGTCACGATACATTTGTTTACATGCATCCAGCCTTCTAAAAGAACAAGTTAAACGAATCATCTGTTTTATGTGTGGCATCTTCACTGGCAGTAGCATTAATTTTGGCGTTCTTGTGTGCAAGGTGCACATCTTAAAGCGGCTACATTGCACTGCTCATGTTATGCAGATATTTGTTATATAAAGTAGCTGTGTAATAAAATGAACATCACTCTATATACTCAGATTAAGCAAGTAAAATAAAGGTGGATAGATCAATTTTGCACTTTCATAAAAAATTTACATTAAAAAAATATGAATTTCTTCTGTGGGTGAAACGGATTGGCTCATGCTCTTATTTTGAAAGTTCTACTTCCTGGCGGTCATCCGTCTGTGTCTCAGCAGCTTCACACAGCCTCCGTTTTGTAATAGCGTTTACATTCTCGCCGCTCATTGGCCAGCAGCGGTGGCCCCGGGACCCCATGTACCCTGGGCCCCTCACTTCCGCTCGTCTGACGGCAGTGGGCTGTTTGACAAGAGCCGCTGCTGGACAGCCGGGTCAATGACGGACATTACACCGCACTAATGAATACAAAAATAACACAAAATAAAATACTAATAATGACATGCACTATTATTACTATGATCTATTGCTGTGAAGACAAACTTTTGCATGGCCTGACTCTTTATAATATATTTATTTTATGAGTTTGCATTGAAATAAGAAAAACAGCAAGCAGCAGTGGTGAGTAATATTATAGCAGATGTCCTGTAATGTTATAAACAGACTCAACTTTCTTGTTGATGCCCCGATTTGACATTTTATGCATCATAGAAGAGAGGAAAAAAATGGGATCACATGACCTAAATGGAGCACATTTGTTATAACACCAACACACTGTTTACAGTAGCCGAGCATGGTCAAGTTGGATCATTATTTGGACCCGGTTCTTTATGCAGGTAGACTTATCTGTTCAAGGTGTTGACAGATAAAGCGTTCAGCCTACTTTTCACTGACGTTATCTGACCTTTATTCTTGCCAATCAGATCCTATTTAGCTTTAAAATGTTACACCGTGGTTCATTGTTTCGCATAAAAAAAGTTTTTACAATAGTTTTAACTTTAAATAGTTTTATAATTGTGTTAATTAATGCGAAGAAGGCAGATTTAATTGAATTTTACTCCGTTGAATTCGAGATTCATCTCAAAGGCTTCATCTTTGGTTAGCGAGGATTTATCGCCACCGTGTGGTAGCGAGCGAAATTGCATGTTGTTTCGGATTTCTTTATTTTCCAGAGAGAGTAATATCTATTAAATAACTTGGTCTGGTATTAGTGTGGTGAGGCTGTTTTGGTGACATTTTCCTTTAGTATTAACAGCAAGATACTGTGTCAACTGGTTTAAAACAGAAAATGGTTTCATTTGTTTTCCTGAACATTTTATGCCGTAAGTTTAACAATGTTTTCTCTGGTATATACATGTAAAAATGTTTTGCTTTGCAAATTGTGCCCATTATTTAAACAATATAGGTTTTTTGTCCAGAGGCTTCATTCAGTGGGAATATTAGAGCAACAGGCAATAATAAAAATGCATCATCTTTGTTGAAAAACAAAAGGAAATCTTTTAAAATGCTGACAAGATCATGCAAAAACTGAATCAGCTCTCCAGGTTTACTGTTTTTTGCTGAATAAACTGAATAGTTGAGGTTTGAAGCTGACCAAAGCATAGAGATTGACTGTCGCAAATCAAAACAATAACAAACAAAGGAACATAGAATAACTTACCGCATACAAGGACATACAAAGTAAGTAAAAGTAATAAAAGACTGATCACGAAACAGGAGGAATCAGCAAAGGACTGGAATACTGAGGGATTAGTAGAGAGTGACAATAGATGCAGTTGAGGCAATCAGCTGACTGGGAACAGCTGAAGAGGGGAGCAAGAAGTGTCAGACTGAGGGAAGGTGAACGATAAACACCTCCAGGTTGAACTAAAACTCACAGGAACATCTAATCAGGGGAAAAGAGTAACACTGATCTAAGAGAACAAACTCCCAAATCACAAAAAACTGAATATTAGAGTAAATTAAGAAAGTAGATACAGAGAAAAAAAAAACCTCTACGGCAAGACCTTTTGAACAATAAAGAATACAGGAAACCGAATAGAGTATGGCAAGACATAAAGGAATATAACTAAACAACGACGAAGTGATAAAACAGAAAATGGTCAAATATCTCCTAGAGCTAGCAGCACTAATACCACAAATCCAAAATGCATCATTCCATAAACTAATCTTCAGTGCAGTAAGTAATCTAAGCTTTAACAGATGTTTTCCTTCTGCACTTGTTCTTGCTACCACAAGGCAAAATGAAAATGAATAAGAAAGCTATTATTTTTATTGTTCGTCTGTGCAAAAGTGCATACTATTGAAATGTGAGTCAGAAAGCTAGAAAATGAGAAATATTTTCTATGTTTAATGAATTTTATTTAACATTTGCTCATCAAATGCCTCGTTATTGAGATTTGACAATAATAATGTTGAACAAACTAACTAATAATAAAATAATATTAATTTAAAAAGTGGAACGAATTAAACAGTTTTATTGCAGTACATTATTTCACTATGTAATGCTTTGAGGAATATTATTACAAAAGTTTATGTTAAAAATTGCATAATCATGCCTATGCATATCAGAAAACATGTTTCTAAATACATATTTTCCAGACACAAGCTACCTGCTGAAACCAGTTAAATTTGAATTCATATATTGTTTGGCTGCCTTGTAACCAAACAGGAAAACTTAAAAGTTATTTAAATTATTTTGCAGAGGGCTGCAGCTGCAAATGCTTAAAAAA